TGCATCGCGCCTTGACGAGTTTGCCCATGGAGAAGTACCCCCTGCTCCAAATACCCACTTGTTCTAGGGTATTTTATTGGAAAACCTGGTTTTTCAAGGTAAATACCTTTTTTAGTTTGGGTACCCCTGATTTGGGACCTCACCCCCTCCCCCCTCCCCCGAAAAGAGAAGCAAACAAAAAACAATAAATGCGTGGTACAACCACCAGACCTGCAAGGTTGCCCATGGAGAAGTAGGTGCTTGGACGGTCAACCTGCTCAGTAAATTATCACCAGGGTTGGAAGAAAGGAGCTGGTTCACTTGTAGCCATTCTAGTTTCTAGGCAGGTTGGAACTCCAAGTATCCCTTTTTCGGTCAGGGTGATTGGACAGTAGATGGGTTGACTTCACTGGTTTCAGTTGGGTTCTAATCATTTGCCGGATATCTAGGTGGCAAGAGTTGAGCAGAACAGGTAGGACAATGTAGGGACCAAATGAAACAAGCCGTAGGCAGCACATTTGTTCCCCTTGGGTGCCAGGCCAAATTCTGTGGCAGGGGCTTTGTAGACTGAGCCATTGAGCATAATCGAAGCCAGTCCTAGGCACACATGAAACATCACTTCAAGGGAGTTGTCCTGACATTGCTTTGTGGGACTTGGGCGTGGCCTATTCTTTGGGCCGCTTTCCATCAATTTGACAAGAACACGCATGTCTGCTGAGTACACTGCTCAGTCTACGAATATGCTCCGGCAAAGCCCCAGGAAGGCATGCATGATTCGCTTGTGAGCACCGATGCGGCCCACACTTGCATGCGAGCAATGGAACCAGAGAAATCGGGCGCATCAGCTATGAACTCTTTGCAGCCTATTGTGAGTAAGGGTAGGTATGGGTAGGCCACAGAACTGTTCACAGAGTCAACAAGCCACAGCCGCATCATGTTGGCGTTGAAACCTCATCAATGGTCCAATCATGCTTGTTTGAACAGCCCCAACATGCGCGACACGTGACTAAGCGACAGTGGCAACTCACTTCCTGACACGAGCAACTCACAAGATGATAGACTCACAACAAGCCAACTACATTCTCCCACATCAGGCATTCGTTGTTTTTGTTTCGGTGTGCGCCCTTGGTCCCTTTCAAAAAAAACACAAAAAAACAAACAGACACCATCACCCACGCAAGCGGAGTCAGTTGGCTCACCCAGGCGAGCCCCGAAACTCAGAAGGCCATGATGGCCTTGATGATGAAGACCAGCCGCTGGCTGGGAAGGGTTGGGTGACCAATCGACCAGCTACGCCCCTTTTCAAGCCCCAAACTGAGAGTGCCAACTGAAAGCCCAGAACTTTAGACGGTGCTTCTACCTGGTCTTTCATGGCGTAGTTCGTTTGACCCAGATAAGACATTGCAGAAGAGAACATGTGGGTTTGGAGCGCTCAACATGATTCTATAAGCAGAATAAGCAAGTTCCCACCCGCTAAATGGCCGTGGTTGGCAAGTAAGGTGCTCCCCTTTTTGTAGAAACCGAACGTTTTTTTTTTTTAGGATGGCAACCGGCCTCCGGAATTCATGAGACAAAGCCCAATACCATTCCATGGAAGTGCATCGAATACCAAGAGGGCAGTCTTCCAAATAGGGTCAGTGCACCAAAGGCGATTCTGACCAATTTGAGGCATAGCCAAATAGGCTGGAACCACCGGAAGTCGTTGGAGGGTCAATTTGGTTCACCCTCTCAGCGACAAGCCAAGCAGAAGGTCTCTTCAAGCGGAAAATTGTCGGATACCTGGAGTGTCCATGGGGAGACCTCAGAAACTAGAAACTGTTCCACTTGGCCATTCGAAACCAATTGACCGCGCATCTGGTTGGCATGCCGCAAGGGGCTTTCCTTTGATCGTTCACCAGAAATATGCCGTGGTATCCGACCCCTAGCAGCCCAGGACTCTCCAACCACCCCTTATCGATCCTTATCGCCTATTCTTGGCCTATCGACCCCATAGCTTTCAGCCGTTGGGGAAAAGCAGGCTTTGATGCAGCACACAGCTAGCACCAGCGAGTCGTGTGTGTGTGTGTGTGTGTGTGGGTGGGTGGGTGGGTGGGTGGGTGGGTGGGTGGGTGGGTGGGTGGGTGGGTGGGTGGGTGGGTGGGTGGGTGGGTGGGTGGGTGTGTGGGTTTGTTTTTGTTTCCACGAGCCAAGTGCATTGCAATGAACTGACAGCCTGTGTTATGCTTCATCTCACTTGTCCGAGAGTCAACTCAGGCAAAAAGAGAGGGCGGCCTTGCGATAGTCATAGTTGATATCGGCGGTCTTTGAGGGATCCTCAGATGGTATGTTTCTCAGTGCGGCTGCCACTCCAATCAATGTGAAGTATTCGTTGCCTTTTCAGGACAAATTTTGAACTCAGCGCCACACATGTATGTGTATATATATATATATATACATACACACAACACCATGTTGAGAGGGACTGTGAATTTGCTTGGAGCACTGATATCCTGGAATATCACTCGTTGCCTTTGTTTGTAGCTCAATGCCCACGATGACCACCATGGCGAGCGTTTGTTGACTCTTGTAATGCCGCCAACATATCGCTGTCAAACATACAGCCTCTCCAAGCATTTGGCTTCAACTCAGCCCATCACAGGTCCACAGTTTTGCAGTCCCATAGATGCAGCGTCTTTGTGGAAGGCTTCGCGACGTCATTTTCGAAGGATTCCTTTAGGGATCCCCTATTCTCAAGTGAACTGGCTGTTCACCCATGCGTGATCGCCAGCATGAACCCAAAATTTGGGTGCCCTCATGGTTCTAGGGGTGCCTTCCATCTCCATTCTTTCCAGATATCCTGCTTTCTAGAAAACCTCCGGAAACCCAGGGAAAACGGCCGGTGCTTGGAAAGAACGATGGTTGAAAATAATGGGGAATCAACCCCTTTTTTGCTTGGAGACGTTCCCATTGCTTCGGCCAAGGTAAGTCGAAGCTCTAGGCGTTCTGAGTCGCTCGGAGCTGGCGGACCTGGACAAGACAAGCAGAGATGCGCTTTGAGAGCCAAAAGACAAGCACCGATGTCCTGTCTTCTTTCATCAAGAAACAAAAAGGGGTTTAATGGGTTGGTTTTCATGATGCTCCGGGGCGATAAGTGAGTGTACCTTGGGAGAGCTGATTGGTTCCCTCTTGGCTTTCCTTGCAACCAACCTGAAAAGGGTAACCCACTCTTGCAAGTGCCCTTTAAGACTTGTTGCACACTGTCGGGCGGCCAACGTCACATTCTTTGACCCGCCTAAGCCCTGTCAGTTATCTATTTGTTATTGTTTAACAAGTGCTTCCCCTTTGCAGGGAAGATTACCTTATGTTTCTATCATGAGCCTAATTCACTAATTCAACATCAGTAGGTCAAACATCAGGATTTGTTTGAACAAACACAAACAGCGTGGCTTTCTGGAACAACTGTGGTTCAACCGTGAAGCCAGGGGAATCTTAGCTAGGTCTCCCAGTAATGCCCTTTTACCCTTTTTTGGGGGGAGGGTTCCCCTACAAAAATAGACGTCCTGAAAGAAAGGTACCCTTATCCTGACCTCTCTACAGGAGGACCTAGTTAGGCAATGGATAGAACCTCATGGGGCCGTCGATCCCAGTGCGCTTTCCGCGGGACGTGACCGCCTCCGATCCGCAAAGAGTGAGGTTCCTGCGGGTCGTTGCGGGTCGTTCCCCGGGGTTGGGCCTCGGTTTTCAACACGGGACCCTCTTGGGTAAGCCAGCGGTGGGGTTTGAGCTGATTCGGTGCCTGGGAGGTTAAATATGCTGTGGTTGTGAAAACCAATGGGATCCGGGGTAGGTGAATTCACCACCCATTTGAGCTTGGTCCGAGAACGCTGGCTGAAAGCATATTCACGGTTCCGAGTATGGTCAAATAAGTCATCGGATTGGGGTCACACAGGTGTGTTCAAATAGTCAGTCCCCAGATTGGGGGGGAAAACCGCTGAGTTTAAAGCAATCGCGTGGAACATTCGACAGATTGGCCCAACCCGTTTAGATAGTGTGCCCGGCCACTGGCGCTTTGTTCCATATGGCTGCGGCGTTTCGCGTGGGCCGAAAAGGGGCCAAGTCCCTGCCGATGGGACGGGAGCTGAGGAAGTTGAGGAATGATGCAATGAAATAGAAAACTACCCAAATGATATCGCCCCATTTTGGAACTTTGAAGGGTAGTTCGAGGGTCCACTTACCGCATTTGTCTCCGATGGCAAGTAACCAGTACAATTGGACAATCAGTACGTTTGTGATGCATGTGTCCCATTGTTTTACTTGTGGTGCACGGGGTGACCGTAGAGTACAAAGACCTGGACCCCTGAATTGTGGCGAGGGTTACGAATCACATTTTTGTGTTGTGCTTATCGCTAGATCAATATACAGACGCCACAAGAAGCCAATAATAGGCTTGTCTTGAATGGAAGGGGAACCTCCAAAGTGGGTTCCCTCTATATTCGCTTTAAAGCAGGCCATACAGGTACCACACCCAATATCAGGCCGCCAATGTGCCACGACGGATCGCTTTATGAGGGCAGTTGACCCAAGCCTTGGACTACGGGGTTCAAGTTGCCCAGTGACACCCGCAAGGCGTCGGGTACCCTCCCTCCAACTAACATGGCAACTCACAGGGGCTTCAAAAGGAAATGAATCTTCCAGCTACCTCCCCACAGGTGCCATGTTAGTTGGAGGAAGGGTATTCTTTTTTTTAGTTATTTTCCCGCACATGTCGACAAAGAAACAAGGTTTCGGTGATTTTAGCCAGAGAAACCAACTGGCCAAGGGAGCGTTTTATGGCCAATGGCAAACTGGTGAATAAACCCAGCTTTGAAGCCCCGTACTTCTCTCTCATTTCGGGATTCATCAAGGCTTGGTTTGCAGATTCCAGGCAAAAAACAAAAACATGTTCCAAGCTCTGATGAAGCCTCGTACGAAGCTGTGATGCATCCAATTTTCTGAGTTTCGCAGATTCCTGGGGCCAGTGTGGCCGTCCGTCTCGACTGCAGGCTGGCAGAACTCCAAAGCCCTGCTGCAGCGCTCCGCCAATGCGCAGGCCGAAGGGCCGAAGCCGGGTCTGTGAATGGAGACCATGCCCCCCTGTTTTTTTTCCTCGGCGAAACAAGTTTGTTCACATGGTTTGTGTGTGTGTGTGTGGGTGACACCGTGTATTTTTTTGGCGGGGAACCCAGTTTGTTCAGATGGTTTGTGTGTGTGTTTTTTTGTTTACTCCTTCTCACGCTCTGAAAGAGGAACCAAGCAAGTTCGCGCCTTTCGCTGTGTGGCAATCCAGCTATGCACGCTTTGTCTGGTCAAGAGCCATGTTCCCGTGGCACCCCTTTATGTGAACTATCAACTCGGCCACTTTGCCGCACCATTGGAAGAGGAACTTGCTAATGCTTCATAAGTTGCATGTTCACCGCGTTGCGCGCACTTGCGCGCGCGCGCGCGGGCGCGGGCGCGGGCGCGGGCGCGTGCGCGTGTGCGTGTGCGTATGCGTGTGCGTGTGCGTGTGCGTGTGCGCGTGCGCGTGCGCGAGCGCGTGTGCGTGCGCGTGCGCGTGCGCGTGCGCGTGCGCGTGCGCGTGTGCGTGCGCGTGTGCGTGGGCGTGGGCGTGGGCGTGCGTGCGGGTGCGTGTGCGTGTGCGTGTGGGTGTGTGTGTGTGTGTGTGTGTGTGTGTGTGTGTGTGTGTGTGTGTGTGTGTGTGTGTGTGTGTGTGTGTGTGTGTGTGTGTGTGTGTGTGTGTGCGTGTGCGTGTGCGTGTGCGCGCGCGCGCGCGCGTGTGTGTGTGTGTGTGTGTGTGTGTGTGTGTGTGTGTGTGTGTGTGTGTGTGTGTGTGTGTGTGTGTGTGTGTGTGTGTGTGTGTGTGTGTGTGTGTGTGTGTGTGTGTGTGTGTGTGTGTGTGTGTGTGTGTGTGTGTGTGTGTGTGTGTGTGTGTGTGTGTGTGTGCGTGTGCGTGTGCGTGTGCGCGTGCGCGCGCGCGCGTGTGTGTGTGTGTGTGGGTGGGTGTTGTGGATTCAGGTTCCAACCCTGTGCATGAGTGTACTTGTACATGCTCCGCCGCTACAGACTTCAAGATCACTGACAGCAGTGTGAAAAGGTAGTCAACGGTTTGCTGCTTGCCTAGGTATTCCCTTAGGTGGCCTAGGCTTGATAACACAGGTTATCAGCCGTAAAGGCTTGTACAAAGATCGCCATGGCATCCGGAGATATGCCTGCCATTTACAAGATATCTGGAGATGTTGGTGATGGTAGTGAAGGTGCAGTTGCACCCAATGGTCCTGTCGACCCTCGTGATCCTCGAAACGTATTCGGATTCGCGACAAACTATCAAGCCACCCAGAACATCATGCATGTGCATAACGACACGGGTGACGCTGTTAGGGAAGAGGCCAACACGTTACATCGCGTTGCTATGGATGCTGCAAGGGCGGAATATAGCGCTCATTTGGCGGAAACTGTGCATCGCCTGGACGAGGAGAACAACCGCCGGACCCTTGAGCTGCACGAGCAGTTCGCAGAGTCCCGCGCTTTCTTCAGCGCCCAGGTTAGCCAGATGCGGGGAGCAATTTCTGCCGAAGTGAACGAAGCTGTGTCGCAAAGAACGGCACAGTATAGCGCTTTCGCACAAAGCTTACATGCTGAGACTGTTGTGATGGAGAACTCGGAGAAGGCGGTCGGTGAGCAGAGAGACAGTATTTTGGCGGAGAACCACGCCATGCAGGACACGATCAACGGGCTGAACGACACCGTTGAGCGTCTGAGGAACGATCTCGAAAAGGCGCAGCGTGAAATGGTGCGCGGAGATCCTCAGCCTGCGTCAAGTTTTCAGAACGTCAGTTCGGAGTCGTTTTTGGATAAGAGGGGCAGTATCTTTGATGATCCGCGTCTTTTTCCAACGCAGAATGCACAAACTTCTGGACCTATGCCTCAGATTATTCCACAGCAGAGTTGGACTGATCCTATTTCTGGTGCAATGCAGTTTGATATCAAAGATCATGCGAGACGGTCTTCGGAGCAAGAAAACAGCCGAAGTCAGCAAAATCAGCCGACAAATCAGCCGAACATTGATCGGTTGACTGGTCCCGAGACCACCGAGGCGGAGTTCCGTGCGGCCCTCCTCGGCTTTGTCCGGAATCAGCATGATCGGCCAAAAGCAAAGGAAGCTGATTCGTTGAGGCTGAGTGAGTTTCCCACTCCTGAGACCTATAGAGCCTGGAAAACGGCTACTCGCGAAGAGATTCGGGCTGCTTCAGATCGGCCTGACGCTGCATTCACCTGGGTTAACAAGGTGTACGTCAACCGGGAGGACAAGAAGAATCTCATGTTAGAGCTTGGAGATCCAGAGCAGTTCGAAACGTTGGATACAAAGCTTCTTGCAGCCTTGTCGCGGATTGCTAAGGGCGACCTTAGTCGGCAGATCCTTACATACAAGGAGCAACAAGCTGCTTTGGACAAAGTTGTCCGTGGACGTCAAGTTCTTCTCATGTTTGAGCAGTATTTCAGGACAAATGAGGAGGCCGGAGCGTTGTATTCCACTGAAGATTTGTTGAAGGTGGTACTTCACGGCAATGATTTGATGACCTTTATTCAGAATTGGGATTCCGTCATTGCTGGCATGAAGATCGTTCCGGAGCAGCACGTCTTGAAGGACATTTTCTTGCGACAGATTCGTGGATGTCACAAGATCAAGTATGACCTCGATACATACGAGCGTGCAAAAGATGGGTCGTATGACAAGAGCTACGAGTTTCTTGTTCAAGCCGTTCGTGATGTTTTGACTCGGGAGCGATTGCAGTCAAATCGTGATCGTGTCGCTCGAGCTCACAATCAGAAGGTCGGTGCTCCAGCTCCCAATGCAAATCCTGGGCGTGCAAGAGATCCTTCAGCGGTCAGGTATTGCTATGATTTTCAGAAAGGCAAGTGCGCTCGGGATAATTGCATTTACAAGCATGAGAAAGACCCAAGACCCCCGAGCCAGAATCCGAAAGGAAAAGGTCGGGGGCGCTCTGACAGCCAGGGGAGAGACAGGGATCGGTCGGCATCGAGAAAGAGAGCGGAGCTGAAAAAGATCCCGTGCAGGTTTTTCAAAGGCGGTCAGGGGAAATGCACTCGTGGAGACAACTGTGCGTTTTCGCATGAGACTCGGTCTGCTGCACCAGCAACAGATAAGCCGAGCCCAAAGAAAGGAGCCAGCAGAGGTAGGTCTCCCACCCCAAAGGGAAAAGGGAGAAAGCGATCCCAGAGCAAAAAGGGCGAGTCCTCAGCCGCTGTGTGTCTGAGGGTGAAAGAGACCAATGCATGCCTCGCAGCATGCCGCCCAAAGCAAGATTTCTGGGAAGTTGACTCGGTGAACGAGATGGTCATTCGACACCATGTGATGCCCCGAAAAGCGCTTTATGATCCGAAGAGTGCAAAAGACCTTCCAATTTCGCTGGAACGTTTATTGGATCAGCGCATCACCAAAGCCAACATCAATGGCAAAGAGCAAGTGTTTGGTGATTTCTGGGCGGATCCTGATGAAGGTTTGGAGCAATACTGGACTGGGCAAACAATTTTCATTTGCAGTACAAATGTTTCCAATACCCGCAGATGCGTCAAATTCGCAGACAATGTCGAGATCGTCGAGATCGAGGCCAACGGGCTATGCCTATCATGTGCTCCAAAGCCGAATGACCCTGAGGTTGTGTGGTATGATGGTTATGCGCCTGGCTCAAATCCCAAGGATCTGATCGATGCTAAAGACAAAGCTTTGATTCTGGAAGGGGTTGTTGACTTGATGCATGCGAACTACAACGCGCCTTGTGGGTTCTATTGCGAATACTATGATGACAATGACCCAATTTATTGCGGTTTGTATTGTCCTGGCTGTTGGATTGATGATGATGAAACGAACCTTGACGATGTGCCGGAGTATATTGCTACGCCAGCACCAGCAGGGCTTCGTCAGTGGATTGTCGACACAGGTAGTGAACAAGATCTGGTTGACTCTGAGCGTGCAGTTACACTTCAAAAGAAGATAAATCCTGCATTGACTCCAATCAATCTTTCAACAGCAAATGGATCAATTTGTGCAGACAAGATTGCGGACTTCTCCATTGATCAGTTGAACGAGGTCGTCACTCCGTATGTTTTGCCGAGCACGCCAGCTGTCCTTTCTGTTGGTCAAAGATGTTTGGAAAAGGGGTACGATTTCGTATGGAGAAAGAACAGTGCTCCGTACTTTGTGCGACCTGACGGGAAAGCGGTAATATTGAAGCTCGATGGGCGAGTTCCGTATGTTGACGATCAGTGCGAGGTCATAGCTTCTGAATCCGCTATGCCTGTTGCGCTTGCTGCATCCGATCAGAAGATCGGGGGCGTTGAAGTGCCTTCATCTTCAAGCGGGGGGCAACCTCCGCCGGATGCCGCATCGTTTCCATTGCGCCCTGATGAAGCTGAACCACTGGAACCGGAGTTTGATCCGGAATTGGAGGACAACCCTGAGGTTGCGGAAGCTCCAAACCGATGTCAAAGCGTTCAAAAGAAATGATGATGCGTGAGGCCAAAAGTGAAGAGCATCTTTTCACTCACAGGCCCAAGAACCCCTTTTGCGAAACGTGTGTGCGATCAAAGATGCAAGCACCTCAGGCTCGTCGCAGACATGGATCTTCTTCGGTGGATGCAAAAGCATTTGGAGATCATGTGACTGCTGACCACGTCATTTCAAATGATGAGACGTACGGGTTCAAGGGCGAGTGGAATGCTTTGGTCGTGAAAGATGTGTTCACGCAGTTCCGGTATTTTTACCCTTCAGCAAGGCAAGATGCTGACAGTTGCGTTCGTGCATTTCAACATTTCACGAAGCCAGATGATCATGTTGGGATTTTCTATTCTGACAATTCTGGCGAAATTGCAGCTGCAGTAAAGAGTATGGGTTGGAGACACGTGCTGAGCCAGCCATATGTCAGTCAATCTTCCGGGGTGATCGAGCGCGAGATCCGTACAATTCTGGAGGGAGCAAGGGCAAATTTGTTTCAAAGCGGTTTGCCGGTTGAGCTTTGGCCTTTGGCAGCTCA